TGTAAAGAAGTCTTTGTGAATTCATCCCCAGCAGCAAGAAAAACAAAATACAAACAATTGGGACTATGTTAAACTAAAAAAACTTCTGCATAATGAAAGAATGCATCACTATGACAAAAGACACCCACTGAATGGGAAAAAATATTTTCACACCATACTGCTGATCTAAAAAGAAGTCACAGAACTCAATCAAAAAAAACAAATAACCCAATCAAAATATGCACAGAAGAGGGGCCTCCCCGGTGACTCAGGCGGTTGAGCACACTACTGTGAAGCTGTCCGCAGCCTCTGCAGTGCCGGTTCTATCCCCGCAGGCCTCGGAGAAACTCACATGGTGAGCAGACCTCTCCTGTCTCGCCTGCTGCTCCTCTCGGCAGTGTATTTCGTCAGTCTGCCTGTTCTGTTCCCCACTCTGTCTCTGGTGAACACTCTCACCCTCCTGTGCATCTGGACTGTACCCTGGCTCTTGTATAAATAAAATAAATCTTAAAAAAAAAAAAATGCACAGAAGAGCTAAATAGCTACTTCTAGAATGAAGACATACAGAGGGCCTGCAAGCACACACACACACAAAAAATCTCATCACTTATCCTCAGGAAAATTTACATTGAAACCACAGTGAAATAACATCTTACACATGAGAATGGCCCGTATGAAGAAGAGCAGAAACAAGTGCTGGTGAGGATGTGGCATACACCATTGGTGGGAAGGCAAATTGATACAGCCTTTATGGAAAATAATGGACATTTTCTGAAAGTATTAAAAATAGGTCCACCATATGATTCAGCATTTCCACTCCTAGGTCTCCACTTAAACAGTGAAAAAACACTTATTTGAAGGAATATATGCATCCCTATGCTCATTTCACCACTATTAACAATAGCCAAGTTATGGAAATAACCTAAGTTCCCAAGGACAGGTGAATGGATTAAAAAAATCATATGTATATACACCTCAGCAACATCATTAAAGACTCATCACCCAAAGCAGTGATAGCAAAGGCAAAGGTAAACAGCTGGGACTACATCAAGTTAAAGAACTTCTGTACAGCAAAAGAGACAGTAACCAAAACAAAGAGACAAACCCAACGGCTGGGAGAAAACTTTTGCACACAACACTAATGATAAAGGACTGATCACAAAAATCTACAGAGCTGAAGAGACTCCACAAAAACAAAGTAAATAATCCAGTCAAAAAATGGGCAAAAGATCTAGAAAGGAACTCCTCCAAAGAGGAAATGCAAATGGCCAACAGGCATATGAAAAAATGTTCAGCATCACTTGTAGTGAGATACCATCTTACACCAGTGAGGATGGCACATACTAAAATAACTAGCAACAACAAATGTTGGCGAGGTTATGGAGAAAAAGGAACTCTCCTGCACTGCTGGTGGGAGTGCAAACTGGTCCAACCACTATGGAGAGCTGTGTGGAGATTACTCAACCTGCTAAAGATGGAGTTTCCATATGATCCAGCAATTCCACTCCCAGGTATTTACCCAGAGGACACAGAATCATTAATTCAAAAGGGCACCTGCACCCCTATGTTTATAGCAGCACTATTTACAATAGCTAAGCTATAGAAACAACCCAAATGTCCAAAAAATAGATGACTGGATCAAGAAGATGTGATACATATATACACCATGGAATATTACTCAGCAATCAAAAAAGATAAACTCATGCAATTTGAAGCAACATGGATGGAGCTGGAAGGGATCATGCTCAGTGAAATAAGCCAGAAAGAAAAAGAAAAATACCGGATGGTCTCACTCATAGCAGGAATTTAGAAAACCTAAATGAGAGACCAGGAAAAAGACTAATTATAATAAAGTAAAAATCAAAATCAACAAGCAACTATAAACCAGAAACACATTTCAGTGCAGTGGAGGAGGGATTAGGGTCAAAATAATGGGGATGGAACTGTATGGGGAATATAACCAAGATGAAAATGCATGTATTGTGCAAAAATGAAAAATGATGTAAAAATATATATTAAATAAATAAATACCCCTTCCCCCAAAATCATATGTATATACACTATGTAATACTACTTGATGGTTAAACAAGATGAACTTTTGCCACTTGTGTCAGCATGGATGGAACTGGAGGGGGTTATGTTTAGTGAAATAAGTAAAAAGGAGAAAAACAAATATCACATTGTTTCACTAATATGTGGTATACAAAGAAACAAAACAAAGTATTCATCAAAACATTCAATAAAAAACACTAGAAATATGTCTGTGGAATTAAGATTAATAGCTAGTGAGGGGGAGGGTAGAGAACAAAGTATGGAGAGGGCCCAGTGGACTATGCTGCAGGACTATGGGTAACTTGGTGGTACATGTGGGTTGGTGAAATCCATCTAAGGAGGTGTCATTCTATGTTCCTGGATCATATACATGTGTAAACCAATGTTAAGTAAGAAGAACAGTCAGGAGCAAACTTTGAGTTGATGGTGGTGCTTGCAGCCTTCTGGATAATAAGAAGGTGGGGCTTTCCATGATCCACCTTGTATGAAAGGGCTGATGGAAATAAGGGTGGTACTGGGGATTTTTGGCAGTTAAACCTGGACTTTTCGCACTTAAACTGCAGGGCTTTTTAAAATTAAACTACTGGGATTTTGGCAGTTACAAAGTTAGACTTTTGGCAGTTATGCTGCTGGGACTCTGGCAGTTAAACTAGCTGGGGCTTTGACAATTAGCTGCTGGCAAGACGGGATAAATGGAGAAGCCATCAGATTGCCATGTTTGGCTTTATGTTGGACCTCAGTCTCACCTCAGTTGACTGTATCTGGGGTAGGGCAAATGGCATCTGGTCATTTGCCAGTCTATATATACTGTCTCAGGTCTCCATTTTTCAAATCCTGTGTAAATGAATTCTGTTATTGTTTCTCATGCTATGTCTGGTTTGGAATCATGTCCTGTGTTCTTAAGAGCCTGGGCAAAGATCCACCGTCAACTCTGTCCCCTGGATTAATCGTATTTCATTACCTCAAAATTGCATAATGTTCCAACCCAACATTCTTTTAAAAGACAGAAAAAACTAACCCTCAGATGGTATTCAATCAATATAAAGATTCAGGAATCAAAATACAAAAGAAGCTCTTTAACAGTTTTGTAGATAACTAAATTAAATTATCTCATTTTAACCCACTTAGGGCATCAACCAGAAACCTAGTTTGTGCTTCTCTTTTTTAATTTTAAAAAAAGTCATTGATTTCCCCCAGTAAATGATGCAAATGGTGTGCTTTTTAAAGCAAATAACAAGATCCCTTCATCCCTTTGCTGGAATTTCAGAAAAAAACAAAATGATAATTGAGTTTTCCTTTTTTAAAAAAAGATTTATTTATTTATGCATACGAGAACTGAGGTTCAGGCCAGAGGTGCGGAGATGAGAGGATTCACCAGAGACAAGACTGACTGAAATACACTGCTGAGGGCAGCAGCGGGTGAGATGGGAGAGGTCTGCTGTGCCATATGGGCTGCTCCCTGGCCGGCCGGGGATTGAACTCATGCTTCAGAGGCTGCGGATAGTTTCACAGTGCTGTGCTTAGCCCCTTGCACCACCAGGGAGTCCCGGGTTTTCCTTATTTTTCCTGGACTTTTAGTTGTGTGACCTAAGTCCAGGTACCTAACTTCTGCATCTGAGTTTCTTTATCTGAAAAATGGGCATCATAATATCAACTGCCTCATTGGATTATTGTGAGGATTGAATGATTTAGAAGTAAATTGTATCTTAGAACCATGCCTGACATTGCAGGAAGTATTCATAAATTTTTAGTTCTCACTATTATTACAGTGGGTCAAGATCAGGAATGTACCTAAATTTAATTTGTGTTAGACATGGAATAGTTCTGTGATGTCATTTGATTGACCTGTCATGCTAAGAAGCTGGTTCTCTAGATTCCATTTATAGCCAATATACACCAAATGATATTTGTGTTCTATAGTTTTATTTGCACACATCTGTCTATGGGGTGGGCTTTGTATTCTGTCCCTATCCCAACATGTATTAGACTTGGAAAATTAGTTAATATTTCTAAGTTTCAATTTATTTATAAATTGGGGAACAACAGTACATATTTGACAGGGTTTCTTTGATGATTAAGTGAGTCAATGTATATGTAAATTCCTCATCACAGTGTGAGACTTAGAACAGCTTCAACTGAAGTTCTCCCATTTAAAATAGATAAGACGTTCCATCTACAATAATAGCACCAGTTATATAATATACATTGTTGAAGAAATGAGCCAATAGACACAAATGATGGGAAAAGGAATTTTACTAGGGAGGATGGGGTGAAAGGACAATATACCTGATCTTACAGATATGAGAGTAGAGGATAACTATAGAGTATGAAAGAGGAAGGATAGTATGATGGTAAAAGCCTGTTAATACAGTCAGATAGACTTGGGTGTGGCTCTTCACCACTTGTTATGAGACCTTGACTAGGTTACCAAATCTTTTGAGCCAGTCTTTTCAGAATTGGGTATAATAGGGATGTTATGAAATTAAAAGATAAAAATATAAGTTGTTTCCCACTGAGCAAAGTCATAAAATATCTCCATGAATAGTAATAACAGTTCTTATTTATAAAGAAATATTTTCTGTATTAAGGACTTGAGCTCCTCATTATCACACTCCTTTTAAGCATTCTCATTTCTATGCTAATGGGAAGGAGGAGATAAATGGAAATAAGGCCAGAAATAGGTAATCAAATATTTCAGAACTGAGCAATGGTGAAAGGGAAAAAGGCTAGGTCAAGTATCTTTGAATTTGTTGGCTAAAATAGCAAGCACTCTTGCTGTAAAGCCTAAGCTCTGAGACACAAGCATTTTTCTTTATCGCTTAAGCTGTTGGAGAAGAGGAAATAAAGTGGTGGTCATGTGGGACCTTCCCTTCCCCTCCCTCATCATATGGGGAAGCATGTAGGTGCATTGTGACTTCAACACTATGACATAATGATGCTGCAAGCGGGTGGGGTGATAACACTTTCTCAGGGTCATCATCTTTCCCTCACTTCCAGTCTCTTGGCAGGGTAAGGGCAGATGACAACCTGAAATCCAGCCAAGCCCATAGTTACAATCGCTGCCAAGATCAACTTTAGCAAATTGGAGGTGTCAGTAATCTTTAGGTTGTCCTCCTTTATTTCACCTATTTTCACCTTTTTAAAGGAGTATTTTGAAGTATGAATCAATGAGAAAAACAAGAAACATCCCATAGCCTCCCACTGCAGCACTGCAGTCAAGGTCTCCTGTTACATCAAGATATTTAGTCATTGGCCAACCAGTCATCTGCCAATTCATCATTTGCCAACCAGTCCTCGGCCATCCAATCATCATCAACCAGACCTTGGCCAATCAGGAAGGAATCAACTGGGCATGCACCAATCAAGCTTATCATACATGAACCAACCAAGCATAGGTCTGACAGGTATGAACTTATTTGGTATGAATCAAAAGGATATGAACCAATCAAGCATGATCCTACCTGATAGAAACCAACTGGGCATGAAAGAACCAGGCATGAGCCCACCAGATCTGAGGCAAACAGTCATTAGTCAACCAGGGCCCAGTCAATCAGGCATGTGGCAACCAAGCCCTTACCAGATAGGCATGAGACACACTTTCCCATGGCAACTAGGCCCAAGCCAACCAGGTATGAGGACACCTGGTATGGGCCAATCAGGCATGAGTCAACTGCAACTAGGCTCACATCAACACAGCACTGTTCAATCAGGTATGTGGCAACCATGTCCTATCCAACCAGGCATCAGACCTTTATGTCCAAGCCAATCAGGCATGAGGCAACCAGTTCCTAGTCAGCTAGGTATGAGGCAACCAGGCCCAAGCCAATCAGCAGTGAGACCAAGTTCTAGCCAACTAGATATCAGGCAACCAGGCCCAAGCCAATCAGACATGCAGCAGCCAAGCATGGATTCATTCCTAGTAAGACCTGCGGAAGCTCAAGACTGCCCAGAAATCCTGCATCTAATTAAAGTAAGCTTTTTTTTTCTCCTTATTCCTTGGAACTTATTAGTATTAGTTCAGGCCTGAGGGTAAGGAAGACATAGGCTGTATCTGAATCTTAACTCTGCTAATTATAAACAGTGTACACAACCTTCTGGAAGTTACTTAGCCTCTCTAAGCTTCATTTTCCACATCAAAAATAAAGATCATAGTACTATCTATATCAAAAGGTTGTTGAAATGGCTCAATAACTTAAAAATGATTACACATAAATTAATTGAGTTATAGCAGTGGGCTCAAAAAGTCAAGGAGGAACCAATGAATGGAAATTCCAGGGACCTAATGTATTGTACCTTCTGGGGAAATTTTAACTTCAAAAGAGGTTCTTAGGGAAAAGGAATGCTTAACTCAAATGAATGCCCTGTCAGTGATATAACTTCAGATATTAATGGCTAAGATCTTAGAGTAGTGAGTTTTGTTGTTTTTAACACTATAAATGTTTGTAGAATTTAATGATTGATTGTCCAGAAAGTAATATTTACCCACAACAAATGTTTCATACAATTTTACACAGTCTTTGATTCCTGAAGGCCATCCATATACTGTCTCCTGAAGTCCATGAAATGGGTTAAAATTTTCTGGCTTAAAAATTCATTTAGGGCAACAACTTCTTAAGGGACTATCCTACACTTCTAAAATACAAAAGATAATGTAAACCAATGTTACTTAAATAAAAATATTAATAAAAGTAAGTTAAATATTAAAAAAAAACAAATTAAAATTCATTTTAATGGTATTCCTGAAACTCATTCCAGTACAGTAAAGGAAACAATATAATAGCCATAGTTACTATGCCAAAGTTCTGCAGCATTGAATACAACAATTATGTGACACACAACTTAAACAATTCCATATAAAAACAGCATCTCAGGGCCTCCCTGAGATGCAATCCACAAAGCTACACACAGCCTTTGCAGCACGAGTTTGATCCCCAACCAGGGAGCTACCCACATGGCACAGCAGACCTCTCCTGACTCGCCCACTGCTCCACTCAGCAATGTATTTCAGTCAATCTGCCTGTTCTCTTCCCCACTGTCTCTGGCGAATCCTCTCACACCCCACACCTCTGGCTTGTACACCAGTTCTTGTATGCATAAATAAATATTTTAAAATAAAACAGCAGCTCAGATATTTTAATGTAATAAATACCTGGATGGAGCAAGATGCAGATTATAGATAAAAAAAAAGAGTTTTGTAATGAAAAGGCTTTCATGAACTAGAATATATAAATCTCATTTAAATAAGGCCATTTGTGTTCCATTTGATCAGAGAATGTGTTTTCATGGCCAAGATAAAATAAGTTTCCTAAATGAAATACATATTTTATATTTTAAGAAGTGGGGTACAGGCCAGAGTTGCGGGGGGTAAGATTCACCAGAGAAAGCGAGGAGCAGAACAGGCAGATGTACTGAAATACACTGCTGAGGGGAGCAGTGACAAGACAGGAGAGGTCTGCTGTGCCATGTGTGTTGCTTCCCAGCTGGCCGGGGATTGAACTCGCGCCTCACAGGCCGCGAACAGCCTCACAGGGCTGTGCTCAACCCTCTGCGCCAGCAGGAAGGCCCAAAATACATGTTTTTAAATGGTGCTAGGCACTATTACAGTTCTGTAAGAACTGGGTTATCTATCCTTCCATACCTTCCTTTCTATTCTATCCCCACAAATTCCACATAATTTCTTTAAATGGTATTAATCTGCATGATTAAATCATAAATCAAAGTGCTACACATAACATGTTAATTATTCTAGAAGCAGAGATTTTCAGGTAGAAAATAACTCTAAAGAATTTTTGGTAGCTTTGTATCTGACACTTGGTTAGGAATTAATAAATTTATTATTGAATGACAGCGAATCTATATCCTGAAAACTTACCCCCCTTAGCTTTCCAAACAAGGCTATTGCTATCACCAAGTGAAAAAGACCTCACTGGACCTACCACTTCCATAAACCTGTATCTGTGGCGTTTTAATTTGCTTCATGTTCCTGGATATACAGCATATGTTTCTTGGGAATAATTTTCATGAGCACTCAGTATAGAAAAAATAATAGAAAAGTTACTTATTCTGTATCACAGACATGAATGTTAGCTTTGAGCTTCATGTTTTTCTTGTCTTAACCCAGGTTCACTTGCTAAAACTGCAAAACAGTCTCTCTTTGCAAAGGAATTTCAGTTTACCACCATAGGAATTCATTGCTTAGCTGGGTATTTTGCAGGTTTCATTTACCATGCTGCTACAAAAATTCTTCCAAGTATCTTCTGTATGCTTCAATTTTATCTTATTCCCAATCACTACATGACAACATTATTTGGGGATCTGGTCATTTCACTGCTAGGTAGTAATGACTTCTTGCTTACCAGACTTTCCATTAAAACTTTTTATTAGGGTCATTCTCCAAAGGGCTCATTTTGGACCTTTGATGATCCACAGATAAGTGCTATGTAGCATTAGTATTTGATTTTTGTTCATTGTACAACATCAAGTGCATATAACTGAAAGGTCATGTGCTAAATACTGCAAAGAATATAGGGATTATTGAATTATAGTCACTGCTCTTAAGGAGCACAGTGTTTCAGGGCAGGTGCTCTACACTATAACCAAAAGGCTCAAAACTCCATTGGGCTTTGGTTACCTTTAGATAATTTTTTTTTACCAAATGCTCAACATAATCTGGCTCTTGCTGTCTTCTTTATAAATTTTTAAATTCTAGTCAAAATCCCCAAATTTTCACATGAAAGAATAAATGAGTTTTCTAGAAAATTCCAAAACTAAGATTAATGAGGAGAAATGATCCTTACCAGACATTATAAAGCTACAATTAAAATACTATGATAACCTCTTACCATAGATGCATAGGTAGATAGATCAAAATAGAGATGGATCAATGGAATAGAATGGAGAATCTGGTAGTTCTCTTAAGTACATATGAAAATGTAGTATATGATATGGAGAACATTTCAACTCAATTAATATATGATGGGTTATTCCATAAGTGGTGTTGGGAGAATTGGGAGGAAAAGATATAGGTAAAATTCCACCTCACTTCTTACACCAAAAAAACTTCCAAATTAATAAATGTTAAGAACTAAAAATCAGACGCAGGGTAGTGCCCTTCTGACTCACCATTTTAGAATAGGGATCTTTGTCTTTGCATCCGGCACCACTGAGACTGCTTGGAACTGGGAAAGGGCTGCACTCACACCCAGAGGTGAGCTGAAAAGCCCCCACACGCCAGGCCCCATCTGGCCACCTCCAGTTGGAGCCCAGAGGGGGATCCAGCCACCACTGGGGCAGACTGCGGGCACAGGGAAATGCCCTTTTGACTCGCCATTTTAGAATAGGGATCTCTGCCTTTGCATCCCACACCACTGAAAATGCTTGGAACTGGGAAAGGGCTGCCCCCACAGCCAGTGGTGAGCTGAAAAGCCCCCTCATGCCAGTCCCTGTCTGGCTGTCAGTCGGAGCCCAGAAGGAATTCAGCCACCACCCAGGCAGGGAAGCGCCCTTCTGACTCACCATTTTAGAATAGGGATCTTTGACTCCAGAACCCACTGAAACTGTGTGGAATTAGGAAAAGGTGGCCCCCACAGCCAGAGGTGAGCTGAAGGCACCCACAAGCCAGGCCCCACCTGGCAGGGAGTCGGAGCCCAGAGCGGGATCCAGCGATTTGGAGCCCAGTGGGCTATCCAGCCACCCCACCTCCAGGGCAGTCTGTGGGACCTCAAGACACACCTTTGGAATAAAACAAATACAGAAGGAGAAGACATACTGTGACAGCGACCATTAGCATATTCATAGTACCACTGCCCTACTACACTTCTGGCACAACAGTATTTGACTCCATTGGACCACCAATTTCCAACATCCCAGAAAATGCACACCAAAAAGATGCCAGCCAGTACCAGATACACAGTGTCCCAATGCATAGGACAAATTAGAAGACAAGCAGCAGGGAGAAGAAAAACTACAAGCAACCAAGCAAGTCCTCAGGGAAAAGACACCACAAAAAGAAAATCACCCACCAGAATGCAACAACACTAAATTGGAAGAACTCCTGAACCTTCCAGAAAGAGAACATAAAATTGCCATGATTAAAAACTAACAGAAGTCATAAAGGAAAACAATGATAAGGGAAAAATAATCAATGGTCAGAAGAATGAAACTGAGTCCCTAAAGAGGGAAATGAAAGAAATGAAGGAGATCAAAGGATTAATGGAGGAGCTAAAGAAGTCTGGGAAAAGCAGTGAAAACAGAATATACAAAATGTAAGAACAAATAAGTACTCTTGAAGACACAGAAATAAAAAGAACCAAAACAGAAAAGGAAAGAGAAGTATGAAGAATAAAGAATGAAGAAAAACTTCGGGAACTATTTGATTCCATGAGGAAAGGAAATATAAGAGTTATAGCAATCCTAGAAGGAGAGGAGGGAGACATAGGAACAGAGAAAATATTCAAGGAAATAATTGAAGAGAACTTCCCAAACATGAAGGAGTTAAAAATAGACATACAAGAAGCAAGAAGAACACCAAACATCCACGATGAAAGGAAAAATACAGCAAGACACATAATAGTAAATCTCCCAAGAATCCAAGAAAAGGAAAAAATAATGAAGCTGATAAGAGGGAAGAAACAGATAACATACAAAGGAAAACCAATCAGGCTGACATCAGACTTCTACCAAGAAACACTATGGACAAGGAGAGAGAGGAGGGACATAGTGAACAAACTCCAAGACAACAAACACCAACCAAAAATACTCTATCTTGCAAAGCTTTCCTTCTTCTATGAAGAGAGAATACGGATCTTCCCAGACAAACAGAAACTCCGGAATTTCATTATGACGAACCCCCCCCCAACTCCAAGAAATACTACAAGGAGTCCTAAAGCCAGAACCAACAGAGGGATGAAAAAGAATGAAACAAGACAAAAAAAAAATAAAACCAGACAAAAGACAAATAAAATGGCAAAT